GACAGGGTTAACGCAGCAGGGCCAGTGCTGCAGCAGACAGTGTTAACGCAGCAGGACCAGTGCTGCAGCAGACAGTGTTAACGCAGCAGGGCCAGTGCTGCAGCAGACAGTGTTAACGCAGCAGGGCCAGTGCTGCAGCAGACAGTGTTAACGCAGCAGGGCCAGTGCTGCAGCAGACAGGGTTAACGCAGCAGGGCCAGTGCTGCAGCAGACAGTGCTAACGCAGCAGGATCAGAGTTGGGATGTGCTGGGAGAAACATAAATAAGAGAACGGCAATGCCAGGAGACAAAGAGATGCACACAATATAGGTAAGAAAGTAGTGAAGACCTGAGATACAGTCAAAAGTGACCGGAGGGATGACAAGGAGGCACGTCTATAGAGGACATCTGAGACCAGAAGTCATAGTAGCCCGTGACTGTGTCACACAATGACTGCCGTAGTTATGCGTTCTCAGAAATAGCATGTCTGTCTTCGCGTGCGCGCACACACACACACACACGCACATGCACACACACACGCACACACACACGCACACATATGCACGAACACACACACGCACACACATGCACACACACGCGCACACACACATATATCCTGTGAGAAGCCAGATTCTTTTCTAAGCAGCCCCATCACACCAGGAGTTCTGTGACTTGGCAGCTCACCCAGCTAGTGTGACCAGAGGAGCAAAACCAAAAACAAAAGCCTTTTCTGCCTAATTTATTTGTTTGTGGCTCTCCATCTAAGATAAATGAGGAAATAAATTCCTGGTGTGCTTTAAGCGAGCTCGAGATTATAAATCACAAACTTACACTCTCACACTACAGTAAGCACAAAATTGGTAAGATCAACAACAGATACACACGCCTCACCTCTCCCTTTCCTAATTCATCCGCAAACACCCATGCAGAGAGATTTGGGATAGCTAAGAACCCAAGACTGCATGACAACTGCCTGCAGCAAATGCTTCGCTAGCCAGAAACAACCAGGACCAAACAAATGCATATTACTAAACCAGGCAAAGGGAATGGTGATCTCAAAGGCAAAGAAGCATTTGTGCTTTTGTAAAAGATTCATTTCTATTTCTGTGTGTGTGTGTGTGTGTGTGTGTGTGTGTGTGTGTGTTGCTGGCAGTGTTATACCACGTGTACTTGGATGCTTACAGAGTCCAGATGAGGACATAAGAACTCCTGGAACTGGAGTTACAGCAGTGTGAGTTGCCTGATACAGGTGAACTCAGGTTCTGAGCCCATCTCTCCAGCTGCAGCAGCAAAGAATAGGCAGTGGATAGATACTAATTATCCCAGAACAAATGCTGGCTATTGTTGGGGAGGAAAGAGAATGTCTTAGCATGTGTTTGCTTTCCTGTGAAGGTGAGATGATTTTACCTTACAAACCTGTGAAGTTTGAAAAGAGAAATATCCCCCATAGGTTTATGTATTTGAACACTTGGTCTCAAGTTGGGCAAGTTATTGAACTTTTAGGTGGTAGAGCCTTATTGGAGGAAGCCTACTAGGGGTGGGTTTTGAGATTCTATACCCTCACTCCATATCTAGTTTGTTCTCTCTGCTTCCCATGCGTGGATGGGCTGTAATCTGTCAGCTTCCTGTGTGTGGATAGAGGTGTGATCTGTCAGCTTCCTGTATGTAAATGGACGTGTGACCTCTTGGCTTCCTGTGTGTGCATGGACGTGTGACCTCTAGGCTTCCTGTGTGTGCATGGACGTGTGACCTCTCAGTTTCCTGTGTGCGCATGGACGTGTGACCTCTAGGCTTCCTGTGTGTGCATGGACGTGTGACCTCTCGGCTTCCTGCTCTGGCCCCTTGCTGCCATACCCCTTCTCCTTGATGGACTTGTCTGTAAGTTGCATTTGGACATGGTAGTTTTTTTTTCATAGCAATGAACAGTAATGAGCAGAAGATCCATTATTGATTTTGAATTTTCTCGGAGTAGAAGCAAAGGAGAATCATGACAAAGCCAACCCTACGTTCCAGGAAGCCATCTAGTTATCTTAACCTCTGTCTGTGCTGTGGCACTGAGTCAAAGGGACACATATGTTACATTCCATATGAATTCTCTTAACAACCAAAAACAATGATCTTCAGGCCTGTGACCATCTTTCTCAACTTGAAGCTGTTTCTCTTCGGGCTCTGCCCAACAACCTCAGTCTCCATCCATCAAAGTGAAAAACTCCCCTTGAATCTCACTCAAACTCCCACCCTGTACCATTCTATGTCCCTTGTAGCTTATTTACCATCTGCCATGTCTTCTCACAGCACCTCCCCATTTACATTCTGTGACAAAAGACCAGACAGACCCCAAGGCCTGGGGAGCCTGCTGAAATGAGGGGTGAGAGTGTGGCGGAGCCAGGACATGACCGTCGCCCTGACTTCTCTCCATCTGTGTCCCTGAATCACGCTCTTTCTTCCAGTCATGAAATCGAGGGTTTCTTTCAGCCCCCCGTTTGAGGGCACAGTCTACCGTGGTGAGGAGGTCATGGCAGCCGGCTCTCGAGGCAGCTGCTCACATTGTACCCACAGTCAGAGGTTGGCGAGAGATGATGCTGGGGCTCAATTCACCTTGTCCTTTTCGTTCAGGCTGGACCCCTTTCCAGGGAATGCTGCCGTTCGTATTTAGAATGGGTCCTCCCTCCTCAGGCAGATCTTTCTGAAAATGCCCTTACAGACACCCAAAGGTGTGCCTCATCAATGCTGGAGGTGTTCTTTAAGCTAACCAAGTTAAAAATTAAAATGAATCACCACTCTTCTTGAGCTCAGGTTTGACAGGAGATTGTGTGTGTGTGTGTGTGTATGTGTGTGTGTGTGTTAACCAGTGTGCCACAGTACAGGAGGCATAAATGTGTCCTAGATAAAGAGAAATGACCCGAAGTGAGAGATCATGCCATTGGGTCCGGCCACAGAGAATCATAGCTCATAGTCAATGAAATGCTTTCTCCCTTTTAATTCGCTTCTGGTAAAAATCACAAGTTCTGCTTACTGTCCTCACATCGTCCCTGTCCCTCCTAACCTGGGGCATGCCCCTTCTCTTGACCCTCGGGGTCGTCATGCTCTGGACTTCCTTAGGATCTATTTCTTTCCAGCTGTTCCCTTCCCCGGCATCTCCCTACTGTTGAAGACCCCACTCCAGTGCCACACACTGAAGCAGAGGCATGTCCCCCTTGCTTTTGCTGCAAGCAGAGCTTGTCTTCATCACAACTGTCTGTCTCTTTCCTTGCTATATCCCTGAACGTGAACTTGTCAAGGGCATAGAGCAAGTCAGTTTGATATTTGTCTCCCTGGTGCTTAATACATCTAGCCCTCCATAAATGTTTACTGCTGCCTGCTTGCTAAGTCTTTTCCCTTTCTTTCAAAGGGCAAGTTGAAGGGCTATCAACTGTCAAAAGCTGTTTAAATAATTAGTGTTTCCTCCGCTGAGAGGAGGAAAGGGGTTGCAAGCCAGAGATTTTATGAACTTGGGATGGAGTCTTCTCTGCGTGCCTTGGGAGGAAAGTTACAGGGGCATCGTCTAGTTTTAAAGGCACCAAGCCCTCGTGAATTCTCACATGCATGTCATGTGGCTGGAACCCCCAAGTTCATTTTCAATATGCAGCTGGGAGTAGGGATAAGGGATGCTGCCTAATGAGACTTCATGGTCCTGGAAAGCAGTGTGAAGGGAGGATTTTATCTGGTGCAGCCAGGTGCGGAGAGGTATGGCTGAGAGAGACGCAGCCCCTAGGGCCAGGGCTCCTTCTCTGCATTGCCAGCTCTCTATGGCTATGTGTAAAGCCTGTTTGTTTTTAGCACTCAGGCTATGACTCAGGCCTTCAAACCTGTAAAGAAATCTTAGGTGTGGGCTTTACCCCTGAGCTATACTCCAACTCCCATGAAGATGCTTTCAGGCACATTTTGTTCAGTTGGAAACCCAAGCCCGAAATCTTCCATTTTGTTCCCTGAAAGTCCCTTGGGTATGTGGTACAGGCTTTTCTGGTAAGGGTAATAGAATGTTGCTCACTGGGTATGGAGACAGGGTAGGCGAGGAGCTACATGTGAGGTAACAGAGGAACACAGCAGCTGGGTACTAGCAATGAGGTCTCTGCATGGCCAGCATGTCCACTGAGGTGAAGAACCCTTGGACCTCTGTTGGCTTCTTCACTCTGCATCAGAGACTAATATCTGTGGCATCTACCCACACATCATCACTTGCTTTGTGGCTCTGGCATGACCTGCCTTTTAGACTTTTCTAGATTGCCATAAGAAGAAATATTACACAAGAGAGACCCAATCCATGATGATGATGGAGGGCAAAGGGATCACTTCAGTCCATGAATATACTGCCAATCTCATAAACATGCATTAAAATGTCTTTACATTATACAATACAGAATCTACTGGACTCTCCCTGCCTGTCTTTAGGTAGCCCAGCCTAATCTGGAGTGTTTGTTTAGCTAAATAAACTGCTCAGATTCTCTCTCTCTCTCTCTCTCTCTCTCTCTCTCTCTCTCTCTCTCTCTCTCTCTCTCTCTCTCTGTTCTTTTCTTCATCAACATAAGAAGCCAGAGACACCCTCCCCAAAGTGACAGCATCTGATTTAGGCGTCTGCTTGTGTATCAAGTGATGTGATGGGGATGCTGAGACAGCAATGTGCCTACAGGATCAAGGACATCATCTATTTATCACACAGCTGTGTCTGGGAACCCTGCAACCAGCTCACATTTTCTGAAGCTCACAGCGAGGCAGAACTTCTAAGAAAGTCTAGAGTTACCTTTCACACAACACAGCCATTTTTGCATGTGTGTGTGGATCAGGAGAATCAATGTGCTAGACCTAAACTCAGGTCACAAGTGTTGCCATGTCATCAGTTTCTCCTGAGAGAGGCACCATTAATCGAGGCACTTCTCTAGGTCTTCAAGAGGCAGTCACACATGGAGTTAGTCACCGACCAATAGGGGGGTGCATTGACTCCATCTCTTCAAAAGGAAAAGCACAACCCACTCATTACTCACCAAGCTGAGCTTCTCCCAGAACTCTGGTCCTTCTTCCATCTCTCTGAGACTGGGTGGAATGTACCAAAAGCAAATGTTGGTATATTCAGGCTGCGGATTAAAAAGATTTATAATAAGAAGGATGCTGTTTTGTTATCTTAAGATTCATCTTAGAATGTAATTATACAAAGACTTTTAAACTCTGCTATAATCTCTTAAGAATCATCAAATGTATAACTTATAATACAGCCAAACTCTTGTAGAGTAGTTCTGCATGACTTCTGACTATTTTACTGGAGTTTGGATCTAGAAGGGTTTTTTTCCCTATACATAAAGGGTGGGCTCAAAACTCAGTGCACACACATACACACACACACACACACACACACACACACACACTGTAACATAACCATTGTCACAGAGTAAGTCTCATTTTCATTGGAGCACAAGCTAAGAAAAACCATGCCAAAGACTAACAAAAGACATGTACTCAGCTAGCACTGAGTACATTATGGGTGGATTCTCCAGTGAGATACAGTTCCTTTTACTCAGAATCCATTGCAGACAACAGCCACTTTCATCACTGGACAGGCAGCACTAACAGTTATTCAGACATCTTTGATACACTTTCACTACAAATGTAGTTGGTAGCCAGTAACCAATGCTTGCTCGTTGCTGGGTTGTCAGCACTCCCGCTATGAAGTCTGCGGTACTTCAGAAAGAATAAACAGCTAGCAGCTCTAATCTTAAGATCAAGCCTGGTACCACATGGAGTTCTGCTGTCTGTGGATTTAAATCATCACTGAGAACCTAGGGATGTTTCCAGCTCACCACAGTAACTTCCTGATTCACTTTCCCTTTCATCTCTGCATTTTCTACATTCTCATTGGACTTGACAAAGAGAAAGAGTTACAAATCGTTAAACTATAGAGCAGCTTTTACAAAGTAACTGCTGTGCAGTTCAACTCAATTTTCACTCCCCTTTATCACAAGACAATGTTTTATATGTTTTATAATACAAATCTACAAATTTTACATTTGGGCCTCTGATTTAGCATAGATTTAGTTCCTCTAGGTAGATTGTGCTGAGCTTCTAAATTCGTTGGTCATTTAAAAAGAATACTTTTTTTTCAAAGTCTAATGAGAAAGTGGAAGAAAAACATAGTTTGCTATCTGTCCTTTGCTTCTAGGTATCAAGCTATAAATCAAAGGCACCCATCCCCAGTACCACTGGCATCAGTTATAAATGTATTAGCCCCCAGCTCTAAGTCCACCCAATTTTTGGTACTCTACAGTGATGGTGGGCCCTGTGAATACTGCAGATGTTGGTGGATCTAAGATGATATGTCGTCATCAGTGGGTGCCGGAGGAATGCTAAAGGAAGAGGTGGCTCTTTCCAGTGTCCTTGTGCATTTCATGAGTCCCATGAAGGAGTGGGATTGTCTTCCACAGCCCTGGGAGTCCAGAAGCAAGTAGCCCAGGCAGCTTTGGAGGGTGGGAGTTGTCACCAGCCAGGCACTTTGCTCCTGTGACTTGACTGGTGACTTCCATGAGCAGTCTGCAGTCATGTCTCAGCTCTGGCCCCTGTAGAAAGATGGCTTCTCCCAAAAGCGTAGTACAGATGTCTAGTGAGTCTCGCCAAGGCGACCGACACTTCAGTGTGCTCTGCCCCATTCCCACTCTTTCCAAGGGGGTCTCTTTCTCAGCCCTGTGAGGGAGTGACCTCTTTTTCCTATGTTCTATCTCAGTTCTGGAAGCGATGGTGGTTCTCTGTAGGTCAGTTATTCCTGTACAGCTTAGTGAGATATTTCAATCCTGTAAGATTACCTCTCATGTCTCAGGTCATGGTTAATCATTATACGCATGCACGTATGTATGTGTGTATGTATGTATGCAGGTATATTTGTGTAAGCACTGCTATATCTATGTGTCGTATCTGTCTGTCTGTCTATCCATAATCTATATGTTTACCTTTCCTATCTGTTTGTAGATTTATCTACCTATATCATTCTCACTTCAGGTTACTGGGCCATTTTTGTTTCTCCTCCCCCCCCCCCCCGTTTCAATGGACCCTACTACATCATCAATTTTTATTCATTGTTATTTGTGTGAAAATACTATATCACATGTCACAACAGGTGATCTGTGTGGCATACCATCTATGTCTCAAGTCATGCCCTGGGTTGTTCAAGTATGTTTCCTTGTGCAACTTTCAGCTACTGTGATAGTAACGTTTTCTGTGGCCCCTTCTGCTCAACATTCTCTTTTAAAGGGCATGACTCCCTGAAGTGACAGTTGACAAGGTGTAAAACCCCTCTGACACTTTGCTGGAGGACGTTTGATCCTCCATTTGGTGGCATAAACTCACTTTAGTCATTTCCAAGTGAGTGAGCAGGAAGAAAGTCTTTGCACGTTCACCAAGAACGCAGTGGGGTTTCCTTCGGCTTTGTTCCTCCTGCAGCTTCTGTCCTGGGCAGCGACTTTCTGTGTGAGCTTCACAGCATTCCTGGCCATATTTAGGGCAGAGTGATGCAGATGCCACATGCTTTTAATTTCCTTCATGTATGAAGGCATGAGCTCTGAGCACCAGAGAAGCACACTCAAGTTGAGATTCTCTACAAACCATAGCATTTTGAAGGCACAGAAAGGGAAATTGACCATGTGGTGGAGTGAGAAAAAAATGGTAGCAACAAGTACATTGCTATCATCTTCTAAGGGTCACTTCCACTGTACTCTGGCTTTCAGAAAGGAAAACAAGTGGGTGCTTTGTTACCAATACTAGAGAAGGCTATTGACAAATAAATTAGCAGTCACTAAGTTACTAAGTTCAATTTCTGTAAAACAAAGCTGTATCTGTTTTTTTTAAACAATCTTTCAATCAGAATAACAGTAACAAAAAGAAGATAGCATGATGTATTTTATGAAGTATAAATGCAGACTTTAGCATAGCACTCAGATTAAAAGAATCAATTATATAAATATAGAATGAAGGAGATGCTGACAAGGTAGATTTCAAAAGTCTTCATAGTCATGTTTCAAAAACAAGATTGTAGTAACTGAAAACTCTTTAAGGATGGTACCAGGGATAAAGCCCAGGTTTTAGTCATAAGACTGGAATTTCAAACACACTTAAATCACATTAGTGTGTGTGTGTGTGTGTGTGTGTGTGTGTGCGCGCACGTGCACATGTGCATGTGTTTGCATGTCTATGTACCAAAAGTCAACTTCAAGCATCATTTCATAGGTACATTCCACTTCTTATTTTGACAGGGTCTCTCACTGGTTTGGAATTTTCCAAGTAGGCCACACTGTCTGGCCAATAAGCCTCAGGGATCCAACTGCCTATAGCTCCCTAGTGCTGACTTTATAACCCTGCGCCATGTTTCTAACTTTTTACGTGGGTACCAGAAATCAGACGCAGGCCCTTTTGCTTGCACAGTAAGCATGTTACTGACAGCCATTTCCCCAGCCCCTCACTAGGTCTTGGCTTAGACAAATGTCACATGTTCTGGCCTCTGCTTCCTGTACTGTAAAGTGGGGGTGACACTGTCTGCACCATGGGCTCAGCTGGGTGAGCGGAAAGAGAATTTATTTGCAGTGGTTGGTAGCATATCTGTCACCCAGCAGGCACTCTGTGAGGTTAATGACTATTCCTTGGGGCCATCCGGGGAGAAGGAGATGTCCTTTTCAAGTGGATGTACGGCCTCATTAAATCCGCAGCAGCTGAGACAAATCACTGTGAACATTTCTGGGTACCATATTTGAAAGGAGATCCTAAGATGTATAGAGTATCTAAAGGAGGCCAACGAGATTGCTCAGCATCTGAAGCAGAATTTCTGTGTTGTAGAGACCGGACGAGAAATTAGAATGAGGAAATGACTTATGTCATATGCCTGTGCCCAGAAACTCAGAGACTGCTAAGGAATTGGGGGTGGAATGGCTAATCTGCAATGAATTTTATCAAGAGAGACTTCTCATACTGTAAGAAATGGGTAGTGCATCAGCGGACACCAAAGTCTTCGGTGGACTGAAAAATAGTAACACGGAGCAGAGGGTGAAGTTTAATGATGAGAAATTAAGCTAAGAGGTAGAGATAAGGTTTGCTTTGCAGTGGGCTTCTCCACATGCTTGGGCTCTCAGCTTGCTTCCAGAGGCGGTGTGCAGTCAGGACAGAGTGGAATAGAGAGCCATGTCAAGAGATGGGCTAGAAAGGGTTTAGATGGAAGAGAAGACACTGCCAACCTGAGAAGTGATTGGCTCTGAGCCAATACAGACAGAAGACGAAGTAGACAAGCAGAAGAAAAGTGGGTGGGGACAGGCACCATAAAGAGTTTTGCTTGGACTGATCACGGTGCTAATAACCCAAAGAAGAATGTGAACTTTTGGTAAGAAAAAACGGTTGCACAGCAGCTTCAGGAAAGGTGAGTTGGAGGTGAAGTTTCTATGAGCACACATGAAAGTCAATGGTGGAGCCAAATACAATGATAATGGATGCCAAACCCTGCAGTGATATATTATTTATGATTTATTAAAGTGTACCTGAGGATTCAGAAAGCAAAGTCAGCCTCAAGCTATAGAGATCAGGCAGTGGTGATGCACACCTTTAATCCCAGTAGTTATAGAAGCTGGACAGTGGTGGCACATACCTTTAATCCTAGGACTCAGGATTAAGGGCTAGACAGATATCTGTTAGTTCAAGGCCACACTGAGCTACATGAAATATATCCAGGACTAAAGATAAACATCTCACATAAAGATGAAGTCAGCACCTGGGATCACATGCCTTTAATCCCAGGACTCATGAGAGGTATTTAAGACAGGAACAAGGTCTCAGAGCTAGCATTCATTCTCCAGTCACATTGAGGATAGGAAGACATTGAAGTCTCAGGATTGTCCAGCCATGATGAGGAGAGCCTAGAAGTCTGGGATTGCAGTCTGAGGAGCCAGGATTGCCTTTAAGTAGAGGTAAGAGCTAGTGGCTGGGATGCTTTGCTTGTCTGATCTTCAGCTTGAAGCTTGAACCCCAATATCTGTCTCTGGGTCTTTTATTTATCATGTAACAAAACCCAGTTGACAGAACCTTTCAGGAAACAGAATAAAAGATGGAGTGCAAAAAAGTAAAAAAATATTCAAATGATGTTATACAAAGAGGACCTCACACCAAGGCTGAGAAGAGAAAATCACAGGAGAAGGTCAGAGAAAGCACTGCAGGCAAGAACGTCTAGATGGAGCAGGAAACTGTAAATATAGAAGTCCCAGAAGTTTAAATGAGATGTGTTAGATTTCATCAGTAAAGAGGTCACCACGATCACATCAGTCTACGCGAGGTAAACTATCTAAGGTAACTCACAAGATGCTTGGTACACACTGGGTGTGTGTGGGTGGTGTGGGTAAGCATTCATAGCTAGAACGCAGGCATTCAGAGCTATCTGGGAGAGAAAGGACCAGTGAGCTCTCCACAGCCGGAAGCTGGCCAAGCAGTTTGATGCACATCATTCAGGCCCTAGGGTGAGACTTCCTGTCAGGCAAGGAGGTCGACAAGATGTCCTTCATGCCTCTAAAAGTCTATGAGTCCCAGTAACACTTCCTAACATAGAATTCAAGAAGACAGAAACAAGATGGCAAATAATTCAGACTCACCCATAAGATTGAAATGAAAATGTGAACAGGAGTCTAAGAAGGAGTACACCTCTTAGATCCAACAGAGAAAAGACTATGAAAATGTAGAATTCATCTGAAATGATGACTTTCAATCATCTTCAGGAAGATAGACATTACTTTAGCTCTTTTCAGGAAAAGACATTCAAGTGCTAGGTGCTCTATTTTCCTATGCTCACCTACAATTTCTAACATTGTACTTAGTGTCTCTCTTTCTCTCTCTTTCTACCTCTCTCTTTCTACCTCTTCCCCTCCCTCTCCCCTTCTCTCTCTTCCTCTCCATTTTAAATTAACTTCACAATTACATGTGAAATTAAAGGCCTAATTCTACTTTAGTTCTTAAAGCAAAAATCAAGGGAGACAAATGTAAATCAAACACGAACATCCCACAGCAGGGCTTGGCTGCAGCCTAATGGTTGGTAGGCATGTGCTGTGCCTGTGGACTCAGGTTCAATTCTCAGATCCAGCAATGAAGGCAAAAACCCAAAACCCTGTGGTGGAAAATCTGGATGGGTTGTACAGGAAGCCTCCTAGTCTGCAGGAGACAGCTGGCTTCTACAGGGAAAACAACACTCATGGGTTTGGAGCGATGGATCAACTGCTGAAATCATGTACTGTTCTGCGGAGGACCTGAGTTCAGGTTCCAGCATCTACTTCCAGCAGCTCACAAACACCTGTGACACCAGCTCCAGGGGTTCTAACACCCTCTCCTGGCCTTAGTAGGTACTACACCAGGTGTACATACCCACACACGGGCAATCACACACAGACATATAATTTAAAAAAATAAGTAAATCTTAAAAAAAAAAACCCAGAAAGAAAGCCTGCCTAACAGGCTTATCTCACAATATGAATTTAATTCCCCAAAGACGGTGTTAAGTGTCCCTTTCTTCCTCTGTTTCCAGGACCCTTAGGAAGAAAGCATCTGTGGCATGTGTGCATGTCATCTCCCCCACCCCCACCCAGCACTTTTACTCTCAACCTTACAAAAACAAACAAACAAAAACCCATCATGCGGTTCCAAAGTGTGAAGCATTTCTCATGAGCACCGTGGAAATAAAGCAACCCGAATTTGATTAAATAAAGGTGGGAACTCAAAGTCAGGAAAACATAAAATGTGACTCTAACTTAAACCAACAGCGTGAGCACTGGCTGTCCTCCGTGTGTGCAGATTTTCATGTGATACAGGGCCAGCCAAGAGATCCACCAACACGAGAGCAGCTAAAGATGACAGGGTGCGGGAGTTCATGTGTCATGAATGAAACCGTACTTGTAGAGAAAATGGATGAAGCCAGAGGTCAGTACGCTAGGTGAATGAGGTGCCCGGTATTGTGTTGTCCACCTGACAGCCTGTGACTCCAACTCCACGGGATCTGACACCATCTGGCCTCCTCAGGCAACTGCGCTCATGTTCACATACCTCCCTGCATGCCTGATGACTTGTTTGTGGGGCACTGTTTTATTGATGATGGATGTGGGAGAGCCCAGTCCACTGCAGGCGGTCCAATCCCTAGGCTAATGATCATGAGTTGTATGAGGAAGCAGGCATGTACATACACATAATTAAAAAATATATATAGTCCAAATGAAACAGGGTTGTTTGGCTGGGTGGATGCACCAATGGGTAAAAGTACTTGCTCAGTAAATATGAGGACATGAGTTGGGGTCCCACCAGTCAGGTAAAAAGCCAGGCATGGCTGAGAATGCCTGCTACTTCAGCGTTGGGTGACAGAAACGGGCAGATTCCACAAGGTCTAAGAACATTCAGTCTGGATGAAGACACAAGCGACTGGTCCCAGTGAGGGACCCTATTGCAATAAGGTGTCGAGATATAGAGGACACTTGCTCTGGACTTGTGCATGTGTGTGTACACACTCATGTATATGAATCTCTCTCTCTCTCTCTCTCTCTCTCTCTCTCTCTCTCTCTCTCTCTTTCTCTCTTTGTCACACACACACAGTCACAGAAAGAGGGTTTTTTAAAAGAAATATTTTCTTACTTGATATTTTAGCAAAAACATTCATCTTCAGAATCACCTGACTTCTTATACACAGCAAGAGGTCCAACATCTACAATGAAACATCCCATCTCCCATTGCTCTGAAGCTCATATGTGCTCATTATTTCATTAAAAGAGAGCATGTGTGCATGCTTTATACTCCCTTAGTTGGTCTTGCATACACAAGCACAGTATTTATAACACAATCACTGTGCCATTTCTGTATCAAGAAAGAGGTCATAATTTATTCAGCATTATCCCTGCTAATTATTATTGAGCATTTTAATTTTCAACACTTAGAGGCAAGTACATTCTCTGTGAATTCAACCAAGGGAAAAAATGTTCACTAATACGGTAAATTAACATAATGGACTGTATGAATTAAGCTAATGACTTGTTTCTTAGTCTGCAACACAAAACCAACACAATACAACAGATTAGACAGTGGCTGCCTTTATCCCCGTTGACTGACACAGACAGGAGCGCAATCCCACAAGCACTTACTTCCATCAGTAACTTGAACCCTTCTCTTTTCTTGATTTCATCTACCAGGTACCTAAAATTAAAACAATGTTATTTTAAAATAGCAATATTGATAATCTGCAATCCCCACATACTGTGAATTGGCTTCCATAACCCAAAGGATGGCTTCTGCTGCAGAGCTGGGGCTTAGGTCCTGAAGGCACAGGCAGAGGTCCAGAGGTGGACAGATGTCTCTAAGAACATCTGTAGGACCACACTCTGGGCCTCCATAGGAGGATACATCTTGCTATGGAAATGAGGCAATCTCATATTATGACAGGAGCTAAACTCCAGCACAAAAGTCAAGCAGCTGTCAGTCCAGAGTCAGTGAGTTCCCACTAGCTCAGGTCAGCTGTTTCTGTGGGTATTCCCAAAATGGTCTTGACTCCCGTGTTCGTGTTATCGCTCCTCCCTCTCTTCGAGTGGGCTCTGGGAGCTCACCCCTGTGCTTAGCTGTACATCTCTGCATTTGCTTCCATCAGTTGCTGGATGAAGGTTCTATGATGATAATTCAGGTAGTCATCCATCTGATTACAGGGGAAGGGTAGTTCAGGTACCCTCTCCACTAATGCTTAGGGTCTTAGCTGGGGTCATCCTTGTGGATTCCTGGTAATTTCCTAAGTGCCAGGTTTCTCAACAGCCCCATAATGACTCCCTCAATCAAGATCTCTTTCCTTGCTCTCCCACTCTGTCCTGTTTCCTCATGTTCTCCTCCTCCTTCCCCCTTTCCCCTCCCCTTCCCCATCCCTCTTACCCCTTTCCCCTCCCCTCCCCCATCCCCTTTCCCCCTTTATCCTCCCCTGCTCCATCCCCCTTCCCCCTCCTATCTCACTCTACAGGGAGCAATTTTGGTGTATCACTTTTTTTTTGGATTTTAAGTTTAAGATCAAAGAGTCTAAACTAATCATTTCTATGGCTAGAACAGAGGGCAAGAGGAGCAGCGATCTGTATGGAGTCACAAGCAAGAGGGTGTGGATAGAGCTGGGTTGTCTATGATGGCCAATTGAACATAAAGAGCCTTACTCTACCATAAGCAAAGGTCTCAGACACACAAGACTTGAGATATGGTTAGAGCAGGAGTACAATGACACTGAACAGAGTAAATAGCAATGCCCGACTCTTCTGTGGCTTGATTTTTATCTACATTTAAATAGGGATATTTTACAAGGTCCACTCCTAGGTAAAGAGCTACAGGCAATAAATGTCTACTCAGATAGGGAGTAGGGAAAAGCTATTTTCTACAGAGAGAATCCTGTGACAGGTTATCTAAGCTTGAGTGGTCAGCCCTAAACACATGCACATACAAGTAACAATAAATGGACTTTGTGTGTGTGTGTGTGTGTGTGTGTGTGTATGTGTGTGAAATACTAACTGAAGAAAGGGAGGTCATGTTTGAGAGGGGACACAGGAGGAGTTTGGGGGTAGAAATAATATAAATACCATACTTATGCATGAAACTCTCTGAAAAAATAAAAATTATAAAGGTAGAAACTTGAAATATTTGACTTTGGAAACAACTGAAATGATCATGAACTTAAAAATTTCACCATGTTTGACCCAGCATTTCACAGTTAGGGGTCAAATGCTTTAAAGGAAATGTACAAAACTTTGGAAAGAAAAGTGTTTGCCAGAGAATTATTGTACTCAACTCTAAACAAAACAAAACAAAAAAAGAGGAAGAAACAGAAAGATGGAAAGAAAGGACATAGCACACTCACCAATAAGAACTGGCTTGACAACTTATGAGCTCACCAGGTAGCTATGGCAACCTGAGCACGATATTAAATTCCATATATTCCATTAATTCTTGGGAACCTTCCCCCTATAAGAATTTTATACTTGAGACTCATTTGATTACTTCAGAAACCAAACTAATACAGATTTTTTTTCACAAGTCATAAAGCCCTAGAAACCATGTGAAAAGGTGGGGTTTTGTTTGTTTGTTTGTTTGTTTTTTATCTTTGTTTTTTTATCATCACATTACTTGCTACTGGCCATTCTAGAATGTGGATAGAAAGTACTCGTTTATAAGACTTTGACATTTATTTCCTCTCAATCTTATTTATATAGCTTTTTACGAAGACATAATATTGATCCTTGCACGTAGATATTATTTTTAAATATGCGAAGTCTTATAAAATCCCATTGCTGACTAGTGACATAAATCTTCTATTTTGAACAATTATGCTGTATGCACAGAGAAAGAGAGTCCAAAAGAATTAACATTCTTCATGCATATTCACTCGCCTGATTATTGTTTTCAGGACATGGTATAAAGTAGCTGTAAAGTCTTGGAACCTCTAGCATGCAACAAAAAGCAATTCCAGTCATCACTAAGTATCAGAAAAAGTTCTAGAGATCAGAGTCCATGGAAGAAATGCTAATGAAAACATCCATGCTGAACTGTCTTTCCCGAATGGGGTGGGATACAAGAACCAGAAGCAGCGGGTACATGGTTAAACAGTTGGAAGCTGCCCTATGGCCACACTTTCTGACCGAAGAAACCACACTTGCGAGTTAGCTGTGAAAAAAATATCAATCATATGGACACACACAGAGATACAGATTACATTTGGAAATATATACACACATATGTGTATTGCACACATGTTATAGCTACAGCTCTCTGTGTGTCTTCTCTACGCAATTATCAAAAGCAAAGATACAGTACGAAACTCGAAGGCTGGAGGATTAAAGTGTTCTGGGTGACCAAGAGTTGTATGGTGTACCTGTGAAAATGAGTGAGCGCTGCCTCTGTCAGTGAAGCCCTGTGCTATAAATAGCATATCCATGAAGATCCATGAAGCATTAAGATCAAAGCATTGGGAAGCATAGACAAGCTGATTCCATTTTCATCACTGTTTTAGAAGAAAGAAATCCCGATTTCTAAGTAAGTGCTGGGGAGATGGCTCAGCAGTTAAGAACATTTGCTGAGTCATCATGAAGAGAAAATCAGATCCCGGCACCCATGTAAAACAGCAGGTATGAACCTACACCTGCCTGACACCCCATCTCCAACAAAGCCTAAGTCAAGAGGATTGCTGTGCTTTATAAGCTGAGAAACTGAAAGCTCAGTGTTCAGAGAAAATGCTTTCCCCAAGGCCTTATGGACATCTTCCTGTGTCTTGTTGGCTGAGTCACAGACCCAACTCTGCACTAATTGTTGGCAAAATATTGTTTTCAGCTAGAACATTGCTCCCTCAATAACATCAAGCTGCTGTCATCTGTGTCCCTGACTGGTGGAGGCTGAACAAGGAAGGTCTTTAATTACAGGCCTTCCCAGAGCCTTCCACACCCTGATAGGCACTGGACTTCCCAGGGGAAGAGTAGAGAAGTTCTTATCACCCAAGCAACTTAGACCGTGTCGACGGCATTTTCTTCTGACGGATCAACTAGTGACAGCTCCTAAAGGCCAACTATCTCACAGAGCGTGGCTTAGAGACACTAATATAGAGGACTTCTTTAAGGAACCTGTATCATCTTCATACATGGAATGGGGTATCAGAAGGGAATCCAAGAATGTTCTAGGTCATGTATGTCTGCATTTATGCAGGTTATTTGGTATTTATAATTCTTAAATATATAAAAGCAACCTAAAATAAAACTACATGTTCATTTTTTAGAAAGCCTATTATTATATGGAAGAAGCCAGATAAGTGATATACGTTCAGTTTTGGGGAGATGTCTTTCTATCAGGGCCATACAAGTAGTCTACTGTAAAAGTAACCCCAATTCCCTTAACTTTGTTCGTGTGCCTGCAAGTAAGTTTGGCATAGAAGACAGAGGGGGAAAGTTATGTACTTCGGCATCTGGGGAAAAGCTTACCTTAGTACTCTGGCTTGATACTGCCGTGTACGACAACCAACATCTTATTCAAATATTGCTAACTTCATGGAGGCATGCCTTCCTAATGCTGCAGGTCTCCACTCTCCAAGCTGTTGAATTTAAATGCTTGGCTTTGGGGGCTAGAGAGATGGCTTCACAGTTTAGAACATTTAACTGCACTTCAGAAGACCCAGGTTGGGTTCCCAGCACCCACATGTTACCACAGAGCTGCCTGTAACTGCAGCTCCAGGGAATCTATCACTCTCTTCTGGCCTCTGAGGGTTCATTACAATCTATATCTCCAGTTCCAGGGGATCCGATCCAACACCTTCCCCGGGCCTCTGTAGACAGCAGGCATAGAAATGATATACTTATATACTTGTAGGCAAGACACTCAGACACATGATGTAGGAAATGAACATATTTCATATGCCAGGATTTCATTTGTCCTTCTGGCAAGCCATTATTTTCTTCCTGGAAATAGTCATGCCTTGTTCTCAATTCACCATCCACTTCAGAGTTTCCCTGCAACACTCCAGGCTGGGTTTATCTCTGGATGTCTCCTTAGGATTTCTTCTGATGGATACACGGAGGCTCCCAGAACTCTGGGGGCTTCTCTATCTGTTCTCTGTATGCTCTGCCTCTGCAAGAATGCATATCCAGGCTTGTGTGGTGTACAGCAGCCTCAATCTTCATTCTATTGCCATTGTGTTTTCTTACAAATTATCAAGTGTGTGTGTGTGTGTGTGTGTGTGTGTGTGTGTGTGTGAGCATGGGCACACACTCATACATGTATATATGTGGATTCCTTCAGAGGCAAGAAAAGGATGTCAGATCCCCAGTGCTGGAATGAGCCATCTAAAATGAGTGATGGGAATAGAACCTGGGTCCTCTGAAACAGCAAGTGTGTTCTCAGCCACTGAGGCATCTCTATAGCCCCTTAAATGATCATTTAGAGAAAATAAATACATAAGTTTTGGCCCCTCTGGTTCTGCCCTTCCTTCTTGTAAGAGCCCCAAAGCACTAGGTGGCACCACTGGCTTTCTCCAGACAGGAAGCGGTTAATCCCTCAGCATTCGCACAAGTCTGTGAGATGGATTCTACCTGAGAGCCTGCAGGTTGTGAGTCAGGGGGATTAATAAATGGGCACTGGAGACCCAATAAAGCAGTGCAATGGAAGCCTCTGCTGGTTGTTATTGTTATTGAGAC